CTTTCTTATTTATTCAGTGAAGGATGAGATAAGATGGGTGGTTTTCACCTTTTTTTTTTTTTTTTTTTTTTTTGTAGAATCTGTTTTATTAAACCGTATTTAAAAAACAGAGACTATTGTATGAAAGACACAAAAATAGAGCCGTTCTGTTTGAATCCCCAGGGGGGTTCGCTCCCTGTTCCCCTCCATGTCAGTGGCCCCGGGGAAAGCTATTTTGAAATCCTAGAGCCCCATGAAGCCCGATCAGACAAGAAGTCCTCCTGGATTCCTTCCAGTTCTGGCATTTTTTGAGGTTGTGATCATTCACCTGCATTCCCCGACGTGAGATGGGTCACAGCCTCGTCTTGCTTGGCAGGTGGGAGCATGTGGTGCCTGGCATGCTCTGGCATGGAGTGAGCGGGTGTCCGGCCTCACTTCACTTGCTTCCACCCCTTTCTGATCTTGTGACCTAGCTCTCCTTTCCTCTGATGCAAATGAGGGCCCCCACAGCATCCCTGGATGGGAGGTGGGGAAAGTACCACCGTGGAGCCCAGCAGTACGGTGAGTTGTCGGTACAACTTAGCCTCGTGCTCTGGCCCTCGGGTGGGGCCATGGGGGTTCTTGGGTCACGCTATATCTCCCTCCTCGGGCTAATATTTTTGCCACCCTTCTTGCCTTGTCCTCTTGGGGGCTGTCATTGGACCTAACTGGGATTAGAAGCTCAGGCCTTGTCAAGGTGACAGACGGAGAATGTGGACTAGCCCACCCCCGGCCCAGTTTGAGAGTGAACTCCAGGGACCAGAAGGGAGAGGCTTCTCCCCTTTGGTTTTTCTTACCCAATTAATGTCAGGACCCTCAAGAACGCAAACTGCCTCAGCCGAGTGGCCTAGGGGGAGGGCGTTCCTTTCTTTGAGTCTGCAGATCACCAGAAGCCTGCATTTCCCTCCCTGCTCCCTGAGGAGGAGACTGGGCCTCCAAGGAAGGCCCCTTCCTAAGAGACCAGCTATGCCAGCCACCTTCTCCCAAGTTGGTTCCAAAGGATGAACAGGAATTTGGCAGAAGCCTTAAGTGCCTGTTCAATTGGAGGAAAAATCCCAGGCCATTTTGAAGGTCAGCGACCACCACCCACAAAGAGCTAGGATATCTGGGGGCAGGTTGGGGATTAGGAGAAAAGGAGGGAAGGCAGACTATTCTGGGCTTCTCAGAATGAGGAATATCTTAAATTTCTGGGTGACACATTAGGACATAGTGGGAGAGGGGGATTTACCCCAAACGTTGCAGCAAATGATCTTAAGAAATAAAGCAGGTTCAGTGTAAGACAACACGTAGGGATGGGTAGTGGAGAGCAGGCATTACCTCATCTGAATGGGAAAGTCCCTGCTGAGGTTGTCCCTGCTGAGGTTGTCCCTGCAACTGTGGGGTCACTGCCCCTTCCAACCTTGTAAGAGTTCCTGGAAACCGAAATTTTGTGTGACATTTCCCCGTTGTTGAAACATCGCACAGACAATGAAACACCGTTGGCTGGTGGGCTTGGCCCTCAGGCTGCTAGGCTAGTTTGTTCCCCTGATGTAAAACCAGACTTGAAATGCCCTTCCTTCCTGTATGTGCCTTAGATTCGTTCTGGCATTTTTAACCAGTGGCAAGATGTTCACGGGGAAAGGTCTTCATGCAAGTCAAGAGGCTTGTATTCGTTCCCTGCTACTGCCGTAACAGACCATCGCAAACTTCATGGCTCATACAATGCAAATTTTTTACCTCACAGTTTTGTAGATCAGAGACCTGGCGTGGGTATCACTGGGCTAAAGTCAAGCCCTGTCAGCAGCGCTGTGCTCCTTTCTGGAGGATCCCAGGGAGAATCCATTTTCTTTTCCCGCTTCGAGAGGTGGTCTGCATTCCCCAGCTGGTGGTCCCCTTTCTTCAGAGCCAGCAAACGGGGTCCACCCTTACATCAAATCTCTCACCACAGTTTGAAAATGTTCTCTGCATATAAGGATTCCCATGATTGGACCCATCCAATGATAATCCAGCGTAATTTCTCCACCTAAAGGTTGTAGTTTAATCACATCTGCCGACTCACTTTTGCCACAAGAGGCAGTGCACTCACAGGTTCCAGGGATTAGGGTGTGCACAGGTCTGTCCCCTGCTCCTTCTGTTACAGGGCAGAGACAGAGACCTGTGATAACAGGGTTTTCCTTCCTTACAACCCAGCCTGCTGCTCCTCTTTTTCTTTTTTTTCTTTAAGATTTTTATTTTTTTTTTAGAGAGATGGAAAGGGAGGGAGAGAGAGAGAAGGAGAGAAGCATCGATGTGTGGTTGCTTCTATTGCGAATCCTACTGGGGACCTGGCCTGCAACCCAGGCGTGTGCCCTGACAGGGAATTGAACTGGTGACCATTTGATTCTCAGGCTGGCGTTCAATCCACTGAGCCACACCAGCCAGAGCTGGCTTCCTTTTCTTTAAGGGATCATTTCAGGGGATCCCTTGGGTGCAGTCTTGCCCAGCCCTCTGTCTTGCCAGCATCATTCTTAGCTGTCTGTCTGGTGCCAGCTCCATCTGCTACCTTGGGGCTCAGAAGCAGCAGTTTTCTCTTCGCTGCCTCTCCCTGTGGAACTTCTCAGCTGGGATTCGTTACAGGGATGAGGGTCGGAGGGCAAACCTTCTGCCCCTCCCGAGAGGCTGCAAAGGCTCCTGGAAGGCTGCCTTAAGAGGCTGCGTCAACATCACAGAGGCTGAGGCTGGAGCCCCTGGGGCAGGAGCAGGGCGGGGTGAGAGCTTTGGCTTGGGTCACTGCTCCCAAGGGTGAGGTTCAGCCGGCAGGAAGCTTGGGCTAAATCCAACAAGAGCACATTTATTTCTGTTCATGTCCAAGTCCTTTGCTTGGGTTCAAACAGGCAACCGCCTCCAAGATCAGGATGAGGAAGACTAGACATTTAACCTCGGTTTTAGCAGGTGGAGTGAGACCCACCTGAGACAGGTGTCACCCTCAGGCCCCTTGGAAGATAAGGCTGATTCTGTGGGATCAGGCTGTGGACCCGTCTTCTCCCCCTTGAACCTTGGAAGTCCCTCGCGCACACACACTCTCTCTCTCTCTCTCTCTCTCTCTCTCTCTCTCTCTCACACACACACACACACACACACACACACGTGCGTGTATACACACAGCCTTACGAGAGAGCTGGAGGGAGGTGAGGCACTGCAGCCTGAAACGCTCACACGTGGATTCGGGAGCCCGAGCACACGAGCTTAACTCCTAGCTCTCCACTTACTGTGTGTGTGTGTCGTCAGGAAAATGACTTCACCTTGATTTCCCTGTTCTGGAGCAGCAACAATGACACCCATGTCATATGATTTTTATAGGATTAAATGAGCTAATGCTGTAAAGACAGAAGCGTACCTGGGCCTAGCCACAATTCAGCTTTGTAGATAATCAATACATATAATCTGCTCCATGAAGATAATCTGGATGCTTGTTCTTCGGTCAAACAGGCTTTAGTAGCTGTACTTCTCCACTAGAAGTTAGAATTAAATTCTCAAGTTAATTCTATTCAACTTGAAAGAACCCGAGAATTAGATGAGGCACAGTCAGACTGTCCAAATATGGTTGTGGCTGTAGGTTACATTGGCAGTAACATACTAAACTAGAACAAGGGAGGTGACAGTTCTACTCTATTCTATACCAGTCAGATCATGGTAAGAGGCCCTCTAAGCGTCTGAGTTATTTGGTGTTCTTTTTGGTCATACTCACCCCTAGTTTGGACAGAGAATCAATGCGTTTTAATTAGAATCAACGTTCTTAACAAAAGCCTCCCTCTGTCCCTTGATAAATTTGTCCCTCCACAGTAACCAAAATTTGAGGCTGCAGCTGATCGATCTTGCGGGCCTTCCATCCTATAGGTTTAGCTGGAAGCTTTGCAACCAGTTCCAGTTGCCACAATTAGAAAGGGACGCGTTATCCGCACGCTGGGGAGGAAACTTGAAACTTGACAGATGAAGACTCCTGGAAACAATCAGAGCCATTCAGCTGGAGGTGGGAGGACACAGGAGAACAATGAGAGCTGGCTTCAGACCATGCTAAGGGCTGTCAGGGGAGCGAGGAAAAGAACATTGAACACCGACTGTGTCTCACACCTAATTAAATGCCCATAGCAACCCTGTGGAGGTAGACAGAGCGACTGCGTGGAACGAGGTGGGAAGAGGTAAAGGGACGCAGAAAGGCCCTCATTGCCCTGGGCTGCAGCCGGTAGCTCTCGGGTCTGTCAGCCTCATCTCGCTCCCATAACAGGACGGCAAGATGGCTGTTATATTAGAGCTTTCTAATACAGAGAGCTGGTAAAATCATGTGGGAATTACAGACATTCCTTCCCATCAAAGACATCCAAACAAATGCTTGGTGCCTATCATCAAAGATAGTGAAAAGATGATTTATTTATGTGTTGTTGGAGAGTGAAAATAGAACCTCCATGAAGGCACCACCCAGCTTTGAGGTTCTGTTTCTATACTTTGGGGGAGAATAGATACTTTAGATATATTGAGAACGTTTTCTATGTGTCTTTCCTTTCGTCTTCCACTGCATTTGTTTCTCCCCTTCAGGCCAGAGATATTCTGTCCAGGGAACGTGCCTTAAAAAAAAAAAAAGAATAAGAGGGATGTGGTAGGTAGCTGGCAATTTGGCACTTGGGATGACAGAAAGACCATACTATGCTCTCTGGCTGTCAAGTCTAATGTTTGCAGAACTTTACTGAGGAGATTGTGTTACACTCCTCTGAGGCAAACCTGGAAAGATTAGAGGAGGAAGCATTATATCATGTTTCCTTCCCTCCCCTCCAGTTCCTTGGCAACGGAAAAACTCCAACTTCTGAAGGTAGGATTTAGACTGGGAATGGTTTAAGATAATATCCTGCTATCCCATCATAGTGGGGACTTGTAGAATCCAGGTTGACTTTTTGAAAATAAAGTTGTTTCCTACTCTCCACCGAGTGCACTGAGGCCTATTTTTTTGTCCTCTGCTGCCCCTGTGTGGACATAGTTGGAAACAACAGTTCAGAATTTCACACAGCAGGAGTGTGCACTTGGACTCGGGGCTCCCAGGGGAGAGGTACAGGACTCAAACAAACTGTCCATGACTTCAAGAGGCTCTCTTCTCGTCCACCATCTTTATTTTCCCCCAAGACACTTGGACCCAGTAAGCGCGCGGTCCTGTAAAGACTCCCAGTCACGCGTCTCCGTAGCTTTGGGCCGCCACCGGCGCCCAGGGGCACAGCGCCAGCCCTCCCACACCTGCTCTTGCTGTGCTTGGAGTAACAAGTCTGTGGGTTTCTCCCCCGGGTTTCACAGCTTTGCATACCACCTCTTCACCGTCTGCCTCTACACTACCGTCTCCACCGGGCTCTACACCAGCACATTCATGCTCGCTGCAGCCCCGACTCCCTGCACCAGCACAGGACAGAGACGACCCTTTTGTTTTGATAAGGGAGAAAGGGGAACACTTGGGCCCAAAGGGGAAGAGGCTCTGAATCACCGGGGCGCTCTGGCTGGAATCCAACGGTGTCTGAATCCCAGGATCCCAGGGCGGGATCTATTTACAGCCTAGTTGCTTCCTTCCCTGGTCAGCTCCCTCCTGGGCGTCGGCCACACTCCCCGCCCTCACTCTCCATCCCACCCAGACAGATAGTGATGGCGGGACCACCCCCCAGCCTTCTTACTCTCCTGCCTATAGGAGATGATGGGTTATCTGGGCCTCTCTCTACCTGCCACCTGGGCCTTCTCCCTCCAGCTGGGAGCCAGGGACCCATGCGCCTGGCCCGAACTCCCTTCCCCGCCCCTCATGCCTCCAGACCCTGCCGCAGCCTGCGGTCCAGGGCCAGGAGCTGCCTCAAGAAGCCTCGATTGGGGATGATGCCTCGGTGGTCCTTGACTTTCTTGATGGCCTCCACGAGGGTGAGGCGGTGGTACAGCATGAGGTAGGCCAGCACCAGCGTGGCGGATCGGCTCACTCCCACGGCACAGTGCACCAGGATCTTCCCTGTGAGGACAGACACAAAGGCAGCTGTGGGAGAGTTTGCGGTGGGCTGGAGGGAGAGGGCTACGCAAACAGCGAGGAAGAAGACGCGTGGGTCCAGGTGCATGAAGACAGGGTGGGTGCAGATGAGTGGTGGCAAGAATGCGGATCCCCTGCAAATTCTCTCGGCCGAATGAGATGGGGGACACGCGGCATGTCAATGTCCTTGGACCAAGAGAGAGCTCGAAGGTAGAGACTCGTAAGTAACGCAAAGCCGAGGTCTGCGCAGAGGGGAGCCTCCGCTGGTATTTGCTGAGCGTGTCCAGCGGAAAACACCCCGAGTCCAACCTGGCCCTTCCTCAGTCTCCCCCACCCTTCCATCTTGCTATTTCTATCAACCATTTTTTTAGGAAGTGTTTAATATATTTTTTATTTATACATTTTTTCCCCTCTGATCAATAAAGCAAAAACTGCTCGAAGTAGAAATGCTTGGAAGGTACGAAATGTGTCAAGTAGCAAGAGTGAAATATATCGCCCACAATATTACCGCCCGGGTACAACCTGCCACCCTCTTAACATTTTGGATTAGTTCCTTCACTCTCTTTTTTTTTATGTCTTTATGTTATTTCTTGTATTTAAAAAATGGTCGAGAGACTGTTTTCCTTTCCTTAACATTACATTCTGAGCATTTTGTCATGTCATTGAAACTTGTCTCTCACCTCCCCAGCCTTCCGGCTCCTCCCTAGCTCAGCGGCCACTGTCCCCTCCCCTCTTGCTTCCCCGCCTACCTCCAGGCTGGCTCAGCGCCCGGTGGATGAAGTCGGCCGCCGTCTGGAAGTGGATGCTCATGTCAAAGGCTGGCGAGTCATGGGCCTCGACACCCAGGTAGCGGATGCCCAGCCCCTCGTAGGCCTCGGGCGTGCCTCGCCACCTGCTGTGGGAGGCGTTGAGGACGTGGGTGATGCCCAGGCGCCGAAGCTCGCGGTGGTTGTTAGCTATGTCCCTGCATTGAGTAGAGGTTAGAGGGAGGGTGGGGAAGCAAGGCTGGGGAGCAGGAGTCCCTGGTCTGTGCCCTGCCCACTGCCACGCTCGTGTCGTTGGCCCGTGGCCACCACTCTGTTTACTGATGACCCAGAAGGGCATTGAGCCGGGGTCTTGCCTTGGGGGCTTTGCCTGGAGGCCAATGAACTATAGCTGTAATGAAATATCGGAGAGCGCACAGAGGCTGTGCGATTTTACTTGATTCGTAGGAAGGATTTACTGGATCTGTACTTCATGCAAGTAGTCGTACTAACAGTGGAATCTAGCTGAAGAAAATGGGACCACCATGGGAGAGGGTGATTTTCCCATCCCCGGGTTTTTCAAGCAGAGAGAGGAGTCCAAGTATGGGCTTGGAGCAGCAGAGGGGCAAGGGACATCAGATGGGGTATCAGGTTGGACCAGCTCACGTTTCACATCCCCACTGTCCTTGAGATTATATGATTCTGACCCTGGTTCCCACAGCTGCCTCCCTTGTTACTTTATACTCTCTTTGACACCCAGAATCTTCTTCTGCCAGCTATTTCATGCTCACGTTGACCCTGTTTTATGACGTCACCTTTAGGTGTTCATGTGGCCCATACCCCTCAGCTTAAGTGGTAGATGCCTCTCAGGCGACATGGTCATATCTCAGGGCAGATGCCCTGTCCAGTGCAAACTCCTCAAGTAGAAAGAGCACTGAACTTGAACCTCCAAGTCCTGGCTCTGCTACTTACGACCTGTGTGACCTTGAGCCAGTCACAACTTCTCTGAGCTTCAGTTTCCTCATCTGTAACCTGGGGATAGTGGTACCTACCTCACAAGGCTGTTGTGAAGATTAAGAGAGAAAATGCATGTGAAAAACTGCTTATATACTATAGAGCCCTTGAGAGACAGAAGCAGGGACTACATTTCCTCAGATGTTCTTCTCTCGATAGCCCCATGTTGCAGAGCCTCTGCGTACCCTGCGGCTCTGCATGGTCAACCCTTCACCTTCCTACCCACTGTGGCTGGCTCCCAACAGCCTTTCTTTGTTTTTTCAGAGCCGTAGCACACTAGATGGAAGGTCACATAAGTCATCTGTTATGTCTGGTACATAGCTTTGGTAATAAGTTTTGCTAAATAAGTGACATTTTTGGACAGTCTCTCTGTCCAGAGTTGAGCAGATCAATCATCCCACCCAGCCCCCCAAACGCTGCAGCCTCCGCTCCACCCATGCACCCCCACCCCTTGATCCTCTGTCTGGAACCGACAACACAGCTCAGCGCCTCTCTGCCACATTTCTTTCTTCTTCCATGCATGCACACACACACACACTCGGCCCTGGCCCCCAGTTTGCTGGGTACATACTGGTCTCCGAGGTAGAGGCCTGGCCAGACCTCATCGGCGTGGTTACAGGCTGTCTTCCCTGTGTAGAGAAGCCTCTCCAACTCAAAGACATTGAGGAAAGGATGTTGAACAGTTGGCATCTCCTCCAAGGCCCCTCTGGTGCGAACAGGGGACCTCGAGCTACTCCGGGAGAAGCGGGCCATAAACGTCATGGAGGCCCAGAGCCAGTTGCCAGGGCACATCTTTGGGGTGGCCGAAGCTGCAACAGCTGCCCGGTGAACAGCTGCCCGGTGGCTGCGGTGACGATGGTTCAGTCTCCAGGTAGCTGTTGCTGGAAGAGGAAGGGATGTGAGGCACACCTGAGTGAGTCCAGAGCCGCGGCCTCCCTTCCTGCCAACTGGGCTGGGTCCCGGGAAAAGATTCTCCAGGGAGGGGAGGGAAGGGAAGTCTGGCCCTGGCGGGGCCTCCAGGGTTGTCTTGTTCGGCTGCGGCAGCGCCGTTCTCTGCTCTTGTGGTTCTTCCACACAAGGAGGTGGGAGAGTCACGTGCCCTTGTTTACTGGGCGAGGGAACTGCCCAGCTGCCGGGTTTCTGCTCCAGCACCCAACCCCCACTCCCAGCACACACACACATAAACACACACACACACTAACAGTTGGTGTTTGGGTGACAGTGCCCATGCTGGCAATGTGGCCAGGCCGAATCTGGGTCTCATCTGCCTGGGGCTACAACCGGAGAGGGATGGGAGGTGGAGGGTGCCCCTCTCCAACCAGGGAGAATCAGCAGGAAGGCAGTGGCAGCTGGGGCCATGCCACATGCCAGGCCTGCCCCTTCCTCGGTGCCAGAGAGATGGGTGGCTTTAACCCGTTCCCACCCTGCCTCTGACTCAGTGACAAGCCTGCTATGGGAAGCATATGTTGGGGGGCTGGGGAGAGTGGGAATATCAATCAAGAGGAAGGGTAAGTTTTTGAAGAATACTTGCTGAGTGCAAGAGCCGAAGGAAGAAGGCACCGATCTATGCACACAGCAAGCAAGCCACTCTCCCTTGGCTGGCCTAAAGAAAAGATGAAACCTCGTCTCTAACGTGAGCATTCCTGAGCTGGAGTATTGTGTCTGTGTCGGGGGTGGGGGAGGAGGAGGGGGAAGAATGCGGGGTCCTGACAGGCCCGGGGCTGGAGGCTGGAGTTAGTGTCAGTGTTGCCCCTGGACCTGCCTCTGACTCTCTCTGGACAGCGGGCCCTTCTGAAAAGGGGACCATGTGCTGAGCTGCGGAGCTGGGAAGGGCCAGACTTGCCCTGGGACCTTCAGGCTGAGGGGAGACGGTGGCAAGAGCCCTCCCCACCCCCTCCTGTCACTCCGTGGTCCCCCGCCCGTCTGACCCCCAGGAGGGCTGGAGGGAAGACTCTCCCTCCCCCCCTCCCCCACCCTTCCGTGTCTTCAGCCCCAGAGCCCTCAGGAGAAAGTCCAGCAGCCCAAGGCCGTATTGGTCCTGCCCACGCTGTGCATCCCATCCGTGCTCTCACGCCCGTCCCCCCCCCCCCCCCCCGCCCTCCGCCTCCCCCCTCCCCCCCTCCGCTTCGCTGCTCCCCACTGTCCCACCCCCCTGCCCAAGGAGAGACCACGCACTTACTTACAGGGCATAAGAGAGAGTGCAATTAGGAAAGGGCTGGTGAGGGGAGACTGGATGGAGGGGTGTTTGGGAAGAAATTTTTTCAGTGTCTGAGTCAGAGCACAAAAATGCAGCCCTAGAGCCATCATCATCATCCCCATCGTCATCTCCATCTGCCTTGTCTCCTCAGGCCTAAAGACCCCATCCCTTTATTCCAAAACAACCTCTTCTGGAGGCAGGGTCCTCCCGCCGCCTGTGGGATGCTGAATAGTGACACGGGAGCTGAAAGGTGACACGGGCGCGGGAAGGAGACCAGGTGCAGGAAGCCCCTCCAGGGGGACTTTCTCTCTCCCGGGGGTACAGAAGCCCCATTTGGCCCCAGGATACACCCCTCCGCCTTCTCCAATCCCATCTGCCGGCTCCCAGGGGCCCTCGTCTGCCGCCCCCTCCTCCGCCTGTTGTCGCGGTTGTAACAGGTTCATGGCTGTCGCCCAGCCCTTGCCAACCCAGACAGCCTGGCGCTGGGGATGGAGGGAGGGAGCCCGGGAGCGCACAGCTGGCTCGGCTCCCGGGCCCCCTCTCCCGTCCCCTCCCTCCCCCACAGCCCCGCCTGGGGAGGCGACCACCCTCCGAAGCCCCCTACCTCGCTGTGCGGGAGGGGGCCTCAGTCCCGGAGGCAGATCGCAGGCGGCAGCCCCTCGGCCGTGGCCATGACTCTCCTGCTGTCGCCGCCCCCTTCGTTGCCACTGCCAGACCGCTTGACGGATTAGCATCTATTTTTAAGCCATGACATGCACGTCGAGCGAAGCAGGGCTCACATCCGCGTGTGTTCGTGACACGCAGGGCCGCAGTCTCACACCCAGCGGTCGGAGTCGGACGCGCAGCGTGGGCTCGCCCGCAGCCCCCGCCGCCCGCGCGTGTTTACAGACCAGAAGCAGACCACGCAGCCAGAGCAGCGCCTCCCGCATCCAAGCGCGTGTGCCTGTGGATTTTCGGGGCTGCGCCAATTACAAGGCATTTTGCTTAAAGATGCATTAGGCAAGTTGTCCCCGATAGTGTCTTAAACACACATGCTCCGGCCCAGACAGCATTAATTAATTACATAGACACTCGTACTTTCCTCATTCTCCAGAACGCCACTCATAAATAATAGTTAGGAACTCTTATTAGTGTTTACTATACACCATGTGCTTCCCAGGTCTTGACTGGTTTTGTTACTCCCCATAAGCCTATAAAGTAGGTAGTATCACTGCCCTCATTTTAGGGAGGAGGAGATAGGCACAGAGAGGCTAAGCCATTTGCCCAGGTCACACCCTGGTCATTTCCAGAGCCCAGCTCCAGATCCTGGCAGTCAGGCTCCCACGTTCATGGCCTTAATGGTTTTATAAAGCTTTCTAAACCAGTGCCTCCGTGCAAATGGAGAAGGCACAATGGATTCCTGTCGGGAAGCCATTTACACCAGCTCAGCTCAGCGTGACCTCTGCTCTCCTGGGGCTTCTGAAGAAATTCCTGTCCGTGCGTCTTCATCTGCTGTTTTTTTAGTGGTGCATTACTTCCACTAGCTTTTCTACTGTAAACACCTCGTCAGCTCCAAGACTGCAAACACTCTAAGGCAAGGATTGTGTTGCCTTCACCAGGGCCCAGCCTGCAGAGCGGTAGAGGTGGGGTGGTAATGTTATCAGGTGATACTGTTGCAAACCCTGCCAGCCTGGATGCTGGGAGAAGGCCCTTCTCTGCAGGAGGAGGGCAGGACGTGGATAAGATCAGGCTGGGCCTGGTTCAGGATGAGAAGATGGTGTCACCTGTAGCTGAAATCAGGACTGACTACATTCCCAGCAGGGGCGGTACGTCAGGTTTTGATCTCTGGGTCAGAGAAAGTACTGGCCAAAGTGTCATTATTCCCAGGTCAGCTCTGTGCTGAAGAAGAGGTACAATCACAGGCTTAATTCCCCTCCTCCTCCTCGACTTTTCCTTTCTGGAGGAATGAAGGAGACCTGAAGTTTTGCCTTCTGGGATGTTGGTTTTTAAGCTGGTTATTAAGAAACAAAAGACTCAGGAAGAACTTTGACCTTCCCTCTTTTCCTGCCTAAGGGATTCAGAGGGAAAAACCTGCTTTGGAAAGGGAAGCTTAATCACTTTAGCGTTAGGCAGGAAGATTCCAAACGGGAGCTTAAAATGACTGAATTGCCCCCTTGTCCCATTGTTTTCTGGGTCACCTAGCAAAACTGTACCTGCCATGCCTGTTCCACTCTTACTCATTAACTGCCAATCACCCATTCTCACTTTTAAAATCTAAGATCCATTCTCCTCCTTTGCCCAGAATGACATATATATCGAATGTTGCCTCAGTGTTTTTGGAACATACATGCTTCTGTGAATTCCTCGTGCACACACCTTAAAGCTCGCCTTTTTTCCTGTTGTTTTGTCTCTGTTAATTTGATTATTAGCCCAGCTGGAAGAATTTAGAAGGTGGGAGGAAAAGTAATATTATTTTTTAAGTCCCCACGGAAATAAACTCAATTTCTTCCCAATTTCCTTGTGCTTTCTTGATATAGAGGTTTAAATGGAGAAATGAAATTTTCATAATTTAAAACAAAGAACTCACCTGGGAGATTTGAAATTTTAATTTGTAGATCCAGTATAAACCAGGGAAAAATGTCACAAGTCAAATTGTAAAAGAACACATATTATACTCACCTCTTTTTAAGTGACAGAGTCTTTAGGGTTAGTAGGTTGGGGCGATACAGTAGATGAATTTGATGTTAATCTTTAGCAAGACTTCTGTTTCAACCTCCTGTTGCACTTCTCTTAAAAAGCTGGGGAAATAGGCTTCAATACATACTACGGACCATATGGACAGATGCTATGAGTAACCATCGAAATTGCCTATGCATCCGTATCTTCATGAGGACCATTCTAGGGGTCAACCTACAACTCAACAGGCTTTATATTTTCCTTTGTGACTAGGAGGGTTATGTCCCCAAGTGACACCACACTAAACTAAGGATGGAGAGGAGGATGGATGGTAGAGGCAAGAATTAGCAGGGAGAAGATAATGGAGAAGGTAGGACAGGAAAGGGGAGGAAGGCAAGAGAAGTGGGGTGTATTGATAATTTCTTATCTGTTAAATTCTTGGGTATTCATGTTTATCAGCTCATTTAATCCTACACACCTTTTAGGTGGGTATTACTACCTTCATTGAATCCTTGAGGAGACTGGTACTTGGTCAAATTAGTTAACTGACCCACAGCTAGTAAGTGGCAGAGCATGGGTCCAAACCCAGGGCTATTTGATTCCAAATTTTTACATTTCAAGCCAAGGCTGAAGAGTCACTTCCTCTTCAAAGCCTTTCTGGATCTACTCCATTTGTTCATTTCCTTCCTTGTGCTCATATACACTTCTATCAAAGCACCTATGAGCTATATTTTACATCACTTATTTCTATATTTAAATCTGTCCCCAATGCTAGGAGTCATGCATGGATACATTACTGTGGGATTGACAGAACAGACGGAAAAATAAGGCTACTGGAAGATAGGAATAGATTTAAAAATGGCCTCAAAAGAAATGCTAGCACCGCCCCCCCCCCCCCCCCCGCCAATAAATAATGAGAGAAAGGCAGAGGTTCAATAAAAGTAGAGTGAGGGGAAAAAGACTAAGGAAG